CATGTTCAGAGCAGACCGGCCGGATTTGAGGGTCATCGTTCACAAAAACGCTGCTTAATCACGGCGAGGGATGCAGTGCGTTTAAAAAAAGGTGCTGAGGGAAGCCGGAAAATTGAATACTAGAGACAAAAAATCTTAAATTCAGTTTTATCTGAGTTTCTTGAACCAGGTCTGCAGAGGGCTGAAGAAGAACCATTCCCATTGCACCGGCCCACTTATGAAGTTATAGTTTCTGTATTTCGGAGCTCAGTGAACACATCTTTTTATTTCAATATGAACATAAACATTTCCTGATTCATTGGCTTAATCGTTATTAAGAGCAAAATTCTTGTTTTACAGCCTGAGCCAACTTACTTTTACAGGGCATTTGTTGTAGGAATAACAGTGGATAGGTTTTCTTTTTTTGTAGTTATATTTATTTAATCTCATAAAAAAAAAACAACCATGTGCAAAACTATACATAAGGTATTTGTAGGTGTCATTTTTACACAGTTTTAAATAAAAAACAGGGAATCCCTCAACATGTTAGTCACGCAACTGATCATGAACAAACATATGTTCGATGTTTCTTTTTCTTGAACATGAATAAACTCCTCTGAAACCTTTAGCTGTTCTGTTTTCCTACACAGCCACTCCGTTTTTGTCTGGATTCTTATTCTCAAAGTAAGCTTCTGGTTACCAAAGTGCTTTATCACATTAGTTATCAATAGGTGGAGAGTCAAACTCAACCTGCACTGAGTGGGTGTGAGAAATGGATGCATGCCCCCCAGACTGCGAAAAACAGGATTGTAAAACCTCCATGAATTAACAGCCGGGGAAGTAAAAAAACAAAAGCTTATGTAAGAACCGAGCGCAAAAACAGACTGTTTGGGACACGCAGTAAAATTATGCTTCTGCAAGCTTGTGTGTAATTATTTCCTCCGATAAGGCTGGAAAAACAAGGACGTTCAGATCCTCCCACGATGGCCGAGCACAGGGGTAAATCATTGTCGACACAATCAGACAAACTATTCCGACACCACCAACAGGGGCGGTTTTCCTCCTTTGTGTTACGCACTCGAAATAAAAACAGACACAAAAGGAAAATGGTCAGCCAGGCCCAACATTTGGGGGAAAGGCCATTTCTCATCTGTGTGTGACCATCAGGTTACATGTT